CTCACATATGCATGTCAGTGAAGTGATGTCTCAAGACCTAATCCGTACCTTGAAATTAAAATTTAATTGATTAATTGTAAACGAGGAAATTGATAATGCTGGAAAATAGATTAAATCTTGTGAGTGTTCCTACTAAAGGAATCTTAATGAATTGAAAGTAAACTAGTGTAAAACTTGTGTACATCATATTGATAAATATTTATAATTTCAATATTTAAATCACGCTTTCGAAGGATTGTGCTGGTTGTCTTTGCATTGCATACATTAATCTCTTGTTTGTCATTGTGCTCTGAAAATGATAACGTTTATCCTCATTTTTGGGATTTGATTTATTTGATGATATAAGATAGATGCGACTTTCAAACTCGTTTTTCGAAAAACAAACTTACAACGGCATGGTAAAAAATGAAAAACGACAAAAAGATAAAACAACAGTATACAAAACAGGAGAAGACTACATTCGTCACAACTCGGCCGATTCCGTACCTTGCATCTAGAAGGAAAGTAGCGGATTCACCCGAGGATTGCCGATTTGAAAAGACTAAAGACTGAGGAACACGAAACCCACAAAAAACCGGGGATGATCTCCTGTACTTCGGAAGGTTACTAAAAGTAATTAAGCAGATCCTGGTCAACATATTGCACCCGTCGTGTTGCTCATTTCAGTACAAACCCGATAATAAGTCTTATTTGGTAGGTCACTTTAGAGGAAAAGATGATGGGATTAATTGTAGTTACGACAATTGGAACATATATGTAAAACATATGTTCCATAGCAGACAAACAACTCGTCCGCAATATTATCCAAGGGGTGATTTCAACTTTACCGCTTAGAACTCTTGGTTTGATAGCTTTCTTGTGAGCAACAACCATTTATCAAGATAGGAAATGCTTTCCCGATTTACTGAGAGATTAATGCTCCATATGAAGGTACTGTTGGAATTTTGCTTCATAGAAATGGACAATTCACCATTTAGAAGCTGAAATCATCTCTGTTGTCGTAAAGTTTTCTTTTCATCCGACCCTCATAGTCAATTACTAGTTGTAAGTCAAGATATTAGGCAGACTTAGCTGTATATGTTGTATACTTTATATCAAGTTCGATGGGATTGATGCGTTTAGCATATTCACGAATTGTTTAGTGAGAGGATATCATCTACATAGCGGAAAGTTAAGTAAAAAGTTAATCTAAGCTCCTTGTCATTCTTCCTATGAAGCTCCGGTATGAATGAAAATTCATAAAAGATACCAGGCTTACAACTTTGTACGCTAGACGCGCGTTTCGTCTACAAATGATCAATTATTAGCTCAAATCCAAAAAGTTAAAAAGCCAAGTAAGGTATAAAAGAGGGGCGAAAGATACATGTACCAGAGGGACAGTCAAACTCATGAATCGAAAATAAACTGACAATGCCATGGCTAAAAAAAGACAAACAGACAAATAATAGTACACAAGACACAACATAGAAAACTAAAGACTAAGCAACACGAACCCCACCAAAAACTGGGGGTGATCTCAGGTACTCCGTATTGGTAAGCAGATTCTGCTCCACATGTGTGTATAACTTTGAAAAGCATTGAGGACACAAAATCCCGAAAGGTTTTGTCAGGATTTTCTGCCCCAGGAATAGATTTAGTATTTCGTAAACAGTTAATATATTTAATTGTTGACCATATAAATGATAATTAATGTCAACACAGAAGTTCTGACTACTGGGCTGGTGATATATGTACCTCGTGCTTTTTATACAGATTTAGTAAAATCTTTATGATGGACTGTAACTTTTATGCACAAAGCTCCTCATATTTCACCTGCATCAAACAAACCGTTAGACCAAGACCAAAATTACAACACATTTTGCAAACATTTTCTGTGATAAAGAGTAATAAAAATAAAAATACCGAACTTCAAAGAAAATTCAAAACGGAAAGTCCTTTATCAAACGGCAAAATCAAAAGCTCAAAAACATAAACTATGTGTGAGCAAAGCAAACAGACATGATACGTTAAAAATGTCAAAAATTGGGGTACAGCAGTCAACATTGTGTTATGATATTAATCACTGTAAAAAAATAACTCTTTTGTCAAAGTATAACAAAATGACATATAGACACTCTATAGACAAAGTACATAAACAAAAATGAAACAAGAATACAAAATTGACTATAGCACAATAAAACAAGACGGGAGGTATAAATTCCGAACCACGCCAAAATTACCAAAAATGGATTAAACAGTATAGGTTAAAGATAAACAAAGACAAATAAAAGGAACTCTATTACACGTAATTAAGATGATAGGCACCGTCAGTACCTAGAATTTATACTTCAAGACCATTAAGTATTATTTGTGAAGTTGATACGGAATATTTATTAACAAGGTCTTGGTACCTTCCGATGAACTGTTTTAGAAAATTGACGAGACGTTCTTTTGACATAACCCTGGTTCATCAACTTTCTGCTCAGACACTGGCGACGTTTCATTAAATCTGAGTAGGAGCTACAAAATCTTGAATACCGAATGAGTTGGGAAATGTATATCCCATATGCAGGTGAAGTTGGTATATTACTGCTAAGGTGGGGGGAATTTATAATTTCAAAGTTATAATCGTCTCGTGTTTCATAGATTCTGGTTCTGATAACCTACTTTTCTCTAGATTCAGAGTTCACAAATGTATAGAGAAATTTGATAAAAGCCTACAAACATTAAAACATGAATACTTGTCAAATAGAAAGTCACTTGTGCATCAAAATTTAAACGGCTTGAAAATGCTTATTTGGATCATATAATGCAAAAATGGGACATTTTTTAAAGAAATTCTATCAAATAAAAGTGTAAATCCTTTACTGTATGTAGTTTGACAAATTGACACCATTTAACCTTTCATGGAATTTGCCCAATTACTGATTCTATATTTACTGAATGCATCTCTTCGGCCTGAGAACACAGTTATTTCGTAATGCATTTCTTTTAGACAATATTTAATGAAAATTCAAAAACAAATCCCATCTGCGCTTTCCCAACAACTACAAATTATAGAAATTAAACTTCATCAGCTCTTACTCAAAATATGGACAGTTTTATGTTAGGAGGGTCATGAATTTAGTTTGACAGATTCAGAAATCATATCTCTGATCTTTTTTAACCGGACCAAATCTATACTTTACCTACATCAACATGGACTAGAAGGATATTGCAGAGAGATAGTAAATGGCAAAAACTTTCATGTCAAGTGTAGATAAGAAAACGTTTTTCAGTTCTGTTGTTGATTATATTAGATAAACTTTATATGGCAGTAAATCAGTACTTTAAATAAAATTTCATGAACCAAGTTTTTTAACATGGTAATTGCATCTTTCTACTTGCTATTTGGGGCATAAAACATGAGGAAATAAATTGAGAAGTTGTTTGAAAAATATTTCCAAGTAATAAACTTCCACACTATAGACTATATTTGTATAAAAGAGGGGCGAAAGATACCAGAGGGACATTCAAACTCATAAATCGAAAATAAACTGACAACGCTATGGCTAAAAAAGAAAAAGACAAACAATAGTACACAAAACACAACATAGAAAACTAAAGACTGAGCAACACGAACCCCACCAAAAACTGGGAGTGATCTCAGGTGCTCCGGAAAGGTAAGCAGATCCTGCTCCACATGTGGCAGTATAATATGTGTAGACATCAAAAATCAAAGGACGATAACTGTGTTCCCGAGCCATGAGTATGATAGAATAAGATTTGCATTAGGTCACTTGTGGAAAGATTTGTTCTAAGAGTTCATTAACTTGCAAAGAGCACATCAGATTTTAAGTCCTTGTTTATCATCTTGTTGACCGCTTTAAAAGGAGAAAATCTCGTAGGGAAAACATATTTAGAATATAGAATTATGAGATTTACCTGCTATCCAATTACATCTAAACTGTCAGACGACTTCTTATTAGAGTTATTGCACATTAATGACAAATTCATCTATGTGTTATAATTTTTCCCTAATATCTTGAACACTAAAATACTTAGTAGTCAGAGAAAAACTTATAAACTCATAGCAATATAATAAGCTAATCAAGATCTACAAATAAATCAAAGATAACTTAAATCATCAAACAACTCATTGTTGTGTCAAAGGTATAAAACTATTTCTTTGGTAATCTTTTATGGATATCTATAATTATTAACATCGGGAATAAACTGTACAATTCTGAAAAGACGATCGAAAGCCTGTCATGAATAATTCATTTTTACATGACTTCTTTTCAATATCATTACTGTTTGCCGAATCTTGTATCTGCTTTGCGGTTTTATAGAAACTTTAATTTATTGTGTATCATAAACTGACATATACATGTCAAAAGAAGTGATGTAACATGACCTCATTTCGTACTTTGAGATTAAAAATTGTAAATTAGGCAATTTTTTTAAGTAGGGAAATAAATTAAAAGTTGGGAGTGCTATGTGTTACACATGTAAAGAATCTTAATGAATTGAAAGTTAATTGACAGAAAACTTGTCTACGCCATATTGAAAAATACTTTGCATTTCAATATTATCACCACACTTTCGAAAGGTTGTTTTGGATTTCTTCGCTTCTGTATATATAGATATATATCAATCTTTTGCCTAGCATTGTGAAATGAAAATAATGTAAGGCATACATATTATCGGCTTTTTTCTGGTTTTGATTTTGTGATATATTAATTGTTGTGATAAGCCAATTAAATGCACAATGTCTTTTTCGTTTTTTGTTTGTTTGGTTTTATTTTTGTTTGTTTGTTTGTTTGTTTGTTCGTTCGTTTGTTTGTGTTTTTTTTTTTTAGAAAAGGGGGGGGGGGGTGCACGTGATTAAAATAGCCCTTTTCTGTTAGCAATATTAATTTGTTAGTTATTTAGAAATTAGCCACAGCTTTGTTCCCTAAACAAATGTTTGCTACAATGCGTGCTGTTGAACGATGTCACTGTTGGTCCAAAGTACTATGTATATAAAAAATAAACTGATATTTTATGTCATATTTTAATATAAAAATAATATGTGGTATGATTGCCACTGAGATAACTCTCCACCAAACACCAAATGACGTAGAAGATTAGCAACTATATGTCACCGTACGGCCTTCAACAATGAGCAAAACCATACTGCATAGCAGGCTGGCATATCAACTGACAGGCTGCATTCCCTGTACAGCTCATTTTATCTTACATTACTCAATGAATTAACTTTACTTAAAATGGATTGAACTAGTGTTAATACTTCAGACTGTTATTATAGTTTGTCGTTTGTCAGTTAATTTATAACCGATATTTGTTTTTTTTTTCTTATTTAGGAAGGTGATCCCTATAACACATAAAATAAATTTAACAATCATTGTGTTTTGTAAAAATACTAAAGACTATAAAACCAAAAACAAACGACAAACTACATTCTAGATAAAAAGATTTAATTCTGATAAATCTTGTGCAAGACCAGTTGATTTCTGATGTATAGTTTGTTTGTTGAAGACTATCGACGTTCAATGGTTTTAAAATTTGCAAGTGATGCACATTTTGTTTACATTGTTGCCTTTGTTTTGTTTTTTGCTACTTTTTCCTTTGTTTCGTTTGCTGCTTTTTTTATGTTTTCTGCTCTTGCTTTGTTTGTTGCTACTGCTTTGTTTGTTGCTACTGTTTTGTTTGTTGCTACTGTTTTGTTTGTTGCTACTGTGTTGTGTGTTACTACTGTGTTGTTTGTTGCCTTTGTTTAAGTAGTAACGGAAGAGTTGTTTAAAATCAACGGGTCCTTTGTTGCCAAGATTTTGTTTGATGCCAAGATTTTGTTTGTTGCCAAGATTTAGTTTGCCAAGATTTTGTTTGTTGCCAAGATTTTGTTTGCCAAGATTTTGTTTGTTGCCAAGATTTTGTCTGTTGCCAAGATTTACGTTGTAACTGTTGTCTTTTCTATATTCAACAGCTCCAATACTGGCAATATTTTGTGTGTTGCCACTGTTTACAGTGTAATGGAAGAGTTGTTTATATTGAACGGGTGCATTGTTGCCAAGATTTTGTTTGTTAGAATTGGTTCTGTAACGGAAGTCTTTTCTATATACACTGGGTCTATTGTTGCCAAGAGTTTGTTTTTTAACATTGGTTGTGTAACGGTTGTCTTTTATATATGCACTAGGTCCTTTGTTGCCAATAGTTTGTTTGTTGCCATTGTTTACACTGTAATGGTAATCTTGTCTATATGCACTGGGTCTATTGTTGACAAGGTTTCGTTTGTTGGCATTGTTTAAAAAGTAACGGTATATTTGGCTATATACATCTCGTCCATTGATGACTTGGTTTCGTTTGTTGCCATTATTTACACTGTTTGCATTGTTGACACTGTTTACATTGTTTACATTGTTGCCACTGTTTACATTGTTTACATTGTTGCCATAATTTACATTGTGTGCATTATAACGATAGTCTTGTCCATATTCATTAGGTAGATTGTATTCTGGTACATCATTATCTGGTACATCATTATCTGGTACATCATGATCGGGTACATCGTTATCGGGTTCTTCTTCTTCTTCGCCTTCACAAGCTATTTCACATTCGTCTTCTGTGGCAAACCTGTTGCCGTTCTTTGCACAGTAACCATATACACAATCATCCATTATAGCGTCAAAATAGTAGCCTCCACCGCCAGTACAATCATCAAACTGCGGCTGGTTCATACATGCTATAACAAATTAAAGCAAATTAATTCAACGTTACATATATTACTAAACAATAAATTTTCCGAAATATAAAAGGGAAGGGGGAAAAATTTACGACTCAAACTGACAAAAATATGGTTTAGACACGGCATGTACGTCAACAAACATGCACTTTTTCCCGTTGCTTATCTACGTGTATTGCACTTTTCTGAAAAGTAGGATGATACGAAATTATGTAACGTCAACAATATTTATACAATTTAGCCAAATGGGTATGACCATTGTTTGCTTTTTCATTCCGTATTTTTTATAATTATAACTAATAATTAACACATTCAAGCTTCTTCCAATACGGTACAAAGGTAATTCGTAATTGTCTCCCTTCGATGAAAAAATTCACTATTCGATTTATCGATTGATTTGTACGAACAAATAAATGATTTTTTTTCCAAACGCAATCTATTTTTAATCATACGCCTTCAAATTCCTATAAAAATAAGGGGATGAGGTATGATTGCAAATGAGACAACTATCAACCAAAGTGCAAATAAAGTGGATGTAAGCAATTATAGGCCTTCAACAATGACAAATATACCGTATACTCGACTATAAAAGGCCCCGACATAAAAAATATGAAACAATTCAATTGAGAAAACTAACAGCTTAATTTATTACAAAACAATTAACGAAAAACAAATATGACCGACATGAACCAACGACAACCACTGAACTACAGGCTCTTGACTTTGGGACAGGCACATACAGAATGTGGCGGGATTAAACATGTTTGTGACCGCTGAACTCTATGTTAGTGCATACAACAAGGTGATGTGGTACAATGTATGGTAGCCCTAATCCTAACCCAGCCAATGAGACAACTATCCACCAGTGACAAAGGGAGAGGATATCTAATGCATTGCGGGTAATATTTTCAAAAGCGTACACCAAAACGTTGTGATTGGTTTATAACGTACTTAACAATGAAAGTTGTGTACGAACAATGAGATTACCCATAGTCCTTTAGATTCTGAACAGGCGAATTGTGCATTGACAAGTATACTGTATGCATTTAGGGTTTTGTATCTCGTCCTTAGATATAATAAATCAAAATGTCAGTGAAGGCTAACATTAAATTAGTATGTCGTCATGTTTGTGAAGCACATTGATTTTCTTTAAAAAAAAACTTTCAACACTCCAATGATTAACTTGGGTATAACATCTCATGTCTTTCAATTAAACCCCTCATAAAGTGTGTCAGATTTTCTGTCAAAAAACAAAGACGTCCGATTGAAATGAAAATATAAAACTTTCTACCTTATATTTAAAGAGTGCCAAGCTCAATGCACTTAAAGAACCCTTGCAATACTGTTACCTCTATTTGAGTTATTTAACTTTAGAAGGTATAATGCACGTAATATGTTCTCTTAAGGCAACAGTTCTCTCCTTTTATCGTGTTTTAAGTGACAATTAAAGTTTGTATCTCGTCCTTAGATATAATAAATCAAAATGTCAGTGAAGGCTTACATTAAATTATTATGTCGTAATGTTTGTAAAGCACATTGATTTTCTTTAAAAAAAAAAAATTTCAACACTCCAATGATTAACTTGGGTAAAACATCTCATGTCTTTCAATTAAACCCCTCATAAAGTGTGTCAGATTTTCTGCCAAAAAACAAAGACGTCCGATTGAAATGAAAATATAAAACTTTCTACCTTATATTTAAAGAGTGCCAAGCTCAATGCACTTAAAGAACCCTTGCAATACTGTTACCTCTATTGGAGTTATTTAACTTTAGAAGGTATAATGCACGTAATATGTTCTATTAAGGCAACAGTTCTCTCCCTTTATCGTGTTTCAAGTGACTATTAAAGTTTACTACTTACAGGACCTACCATATCGATGTATCGTATGTGTTGATGTCCTGTATATTCATGTAATATTTGGCACTGGACAATATGCAAGCATCTTATTTATTAAGATAAACTCTAAGAAGGTAAATTTTAGACAGGTATACGAATTTAATAGCTACCTTAAAATAGTATTGTGTTCAAAAACCGAACCATAAATTACACGAATACAACCGAGAAAAATCTAACTGAAAGTTAAATAAAGTTTTATTAAAATTTTATAAACGTTCATTTAGATTGGAATAAGCTATACATTTTAGGGACTGAATTGATGGTTTGAAATCTGTTGCATAAGCATGAGAAACAACAGCTTATGTATTTAAAGACAATGGTATACGTTCATTTTTTTATTGTTTAGTCGCAAATATCTATTCAACCGCACCGCTTACGCGACACCAGTAAGGTAATATCCAACCATTAAAGTGAATGCATTATTCAAATAACGTTAAAATAATGCATGATATTCTTTATACGTTAATAATATCAAGTTCATTTGAAGGTTATCAACATATAATACAAATGATTTATTAATTCGGATATAGATTTCACATGACGAGAATAAAATTCAAATGTGTTAAAACTTCATTAGGCTGTCATTTCGTTCGTTAAGTTTGAACAGTGCCGGAAGAACCTTGTACAAGAAATGTAAATCTTCCAATTTATTTTAATTGTATAGTAATTATATGACTATACGTTATTTTGAAGATTATAATTTGTCATTTTGAAGATTTAATTCGTCATAGTGGATTTTCAAACTTCATAATAAAAAATTATGGATACTCATAACAAATGAAGTCTAATATCATTAACGGTACACATTTTACTGCATCAGATGCGCATGTCGACAATAAATGTCTCTGCAGTGATGCTCGAGGCCAAACTATTTGAAAATTCTAAATTTACTTACAAAAATGATGAGCTTATAAGCCACAAAGGACAAAAAGTATAGCCAAAACAAGGAATTAGAGCTTTGCATGATGGAAATATATTCCTAAATTTTAAACAATTTCAAAAATTTTGTAACATAGCATTTTGTCGTTATCTTTATGCACTCTCCCGTCTATTAGTTAGCCCGTTTATGAATTTACGATTCCCATATAACGAATAAGCTTTGCAATACTAAATTTAAGAGTTCGTATAAAGATGTTCCAACATTTTTTCTCACAAATTCAGATACTCCATAAAACTCTTATGAATTGTTTTACAAATTTCGTGTTTATACTGTTTAATTTGTACAGTCAGAGGTCAAAAGTGTTTCATTGCTATCATTTGAAAATTCCTCTATATCTTTCATATAAAAATACATTTCAATAGTATTCCGTATTTAATTTCAGTAAATGGTGATATATTGAAACGGTATTAATGTGTACGTGTTATAAAGTAAAGATTGATTTTTGGTTGCTTAACGTCCAGTGGCAAATATTTCATGCATGTTCAGGACGAGAACAAATTTACAATACATACAATAGGCAAGTTCTGTAATATAGGCCGTCCGGGTGGGGAAATTTTGACTGCCACGGAAGGTTGAGGTATATTTGATAGGGGAAGAAATTTAGCCTTGCAACAGGCCACCTACGGACCCCTCAAAGAGTTGTTTCAAGGGTTCTAAATGTATAAAAGAGCGTGGCACTATATATATAAGGGTTTTATATTTCTGAGTTATCAGTTCTCGCGGAGATCTTTTGCAAGTGATAAGTATCACTAAACCTAAAAATCGTGTAGGGAGCACAAAAAAGTAAACAAATTTTGTTTATTTACTTCCATTGCATGTCTGCAAAAAAAAAAAAGAATGACCAGACTTTTTCGCTATTTAATTAACGGATATGGATTTAGCGGAATAGAGCAACTAACTGAATAAAAAAGCAGGATGAAGTCGATGAATATACAGGAAACAATGCCAAATTAAAGTACTTCAAATAAATTCATCAAAGATACTAAGATTATCAATGACGCTCGGATAAAAAAAAAAACACAAGCCAGATAAAGTACGAAGTTAAAGAACACTGAGGACCCAAAATTCCGAACAGTTTTGTCAAATATAGCTTACGTCATCTTTTCCTGGGGTAGAAAATCCTTAGAATAACTGCATAAAAAAAGCAGGATGAAGTCGATGAATATACAGGAAACAATAAAAACGTAAAACTACTTCAAATATATATCTAATATATCTGACTAACCTTTCCGCGGTGGAACAGCCTCTATCGCCACTATGGCGAAAACCACGATGACTAGTAGGTAACTAAACTTCATCGTCTGCTGCTAGATCGTCTGCTGGTAGATCGTCTGCTTGTAATGTAATAATGCATTGAATTAAATTATCACAAATCTTTTATAAGAATGAAACCCCTTCTTAATTCATGATTGATCGTGACTACATGTTAAATTAACAAATTGACATAAGATTGATACTTCCATAATAAGGTTGTTTTGATTTATAGCTTAAGAGGTCACTGCTTTTAATTACAATATGTTTTAAATTGATTTTCCCCAGGTTCTTTACCCTAAATTTGCATAATCTTAATTAATGTGCATGTTTTATATTAACAACTGTATATATTGTAGTCTCCTCGAATTTTTATAGAATAGAATTTAGGTTTATTTCAAAATAATCTTCTCTAGATATTTTTTTTTTTAATGTTCAAAAGCATTTTATAAAATGGTGTGATTTGAATCGAAAATGTATTTTTAATTCTTTTTTATATGGGTGGCTTAAACGGTGACGTCATTTATTTATTTTTTTTTAATAAGGGAGAACTTGTTTAAATACAAGTTTAATTTTTTTTTATCAATGGAAAAAAAGTAACAATAATACTAAAATTTCTTCATATTTAACCCCCGCCCGATGTGTATTGTGCGTGTTCTAAAATAACATTCAAAAGCTACGTTTGTCGATTATCTCCCATTTCACTCTTTAGAACCTTCACCAATTCGAAACCTTCACAATACTGTAGAGTGGCGTTTTTTTTCGCAGAATTGCAAATTCGCGATTTTGAAAGCAAATCTGTTGGCGAGGTTACATTTTTTTCTCTTTTTCCTGGGTTTTTATTAAATCTACCTTAAAGATCACATTTAGACGAGTGTTTATTTTTGCTACTTTCTCTTTGTCGGTCACGAAAATTCCAATTTTACAATGTTTAAATCAGCATAATATATCTGTATAACAAGATTTGATGGGAAGTCGTATTCTTTTTTTTTCCATTGCATTCGATATATATTTTCTTAACTCAACTGAACTTTTATACGTTATATTTTTATAAGCCGTCTTATACGGAAGGTATTATGATATTCCGTAGTTTGAACGCGTCCGTCAACAACTCACGATACGATAACTCAAATTTGACTTAACTAATTTTCGAAGTTTAACACAACATTAGGATTCACAGAAGAAAGGTTCCTTCTGATTTCTATGTTTGGGGGGTTGTGTCAGATTTGATAAAAATTTTATAAAAATAAGAAAATGTGGTATAGTTGTCAATAAGACAACTCTCCACCAGAGACCAAATGTTGTTATAGCAAATAAAGGCAACAGTAGTATACCGCTGTTCAAAAGTCATAAATCGATTAAGAGAAAACAATCCGAGTTACAAACTAAAACCGAGGGAAACACATCAACTAAAAGAGGAAAACAACGGAACAACAGAAACACTGAATTGCAACAAAAAAAAAAACGCCAACATACATAGAAACAGTCTATTTGATACCAACTGCCATATTCCTGACTTGGTACAGGACATTTTAAGCAACTATTAAATATAGGTGACCGTACTGTGTCCCTTCAACAGTTAGCAAAACAATATCACACCAGCCATTTTTCACGTAGCACATACTTATTCGAGTACGACTTGATCAAAAACTCAACTTAAGGCTGCTGTGTGGATTAATAAAAGAAAAATCCCTTTCGGCTTTTTTTTTTTTGACGTTCCAGATTTGCGGGTTTTCAACTGTCAAATATTTCGCAATTTTTTACATATCGCTCACTTAATGGAGTCCAGGATCGATTATGCTTTATTAAGTTAGATGAAAAAAACTCAAAACTGTACACGGTTATAAAGATAGATTAAAGAAAACTCGCTTTTGATTTGAATTTTATGTTTGCATGTTGTACACTAAATGGAGAGAGAGAAAAACTGGGCAAAATTAGTGCGTCCAAAGTGCTTTAAATTCTAAATTTGCCTTAATTAAAAACGCATTCGAATAAGCTTCGATATATGTACTTGAAACTTATACAATGGTTGGAATTTGTGAAAGTAAGGTATCTTTCCGAATTTTTATCCAAGAGTTATGGGACTTGAACTGTTTGATTGTTCATCTCTAGTATGCTTGGATCAAAAAGAATTATATGCCTGAGGATATACATGTACACATGCAAAATTTTCAACAAGGCCGTGTTACTGAATTCTGATTGAAAACCTTCTCAATATTCCATTTTATTCTTGCAATAATTTCATTATGCAAAGATGGGCGTATCATACGCCCCTAGCGGAGCAGTTCATTATAAGCAGTTGAACCACGTTCATTCTGTACAGAAATGATTTGACCAAGTTTTAAGTGAAAAATATGAAAACAACACGTTATTAATTCCATGCGTCCGAAGCACTTGTCTGGATTTACCTTCATCAGGAACGCTCAAAGCCGAATATTTGAAACATGCATTAAGGAATAATCCATTCTTAACTAACAAATATCTATTAGTTCCTATAAATAATTCACTCATCGACAGAGATGGCTATTTTTGGATACTTATTACGGCACCGTTTTCTCGTAACATATTAAGAATGTTTTAAAACTTTTCCATCTTTAGCAATAACTCAACATAAAAGTCTACACCGATTTTAGTTGAAAACGAGCCTAACAACTTTATGATGGCAGCGGCAGGTCCATTTCGAGAGAAAAAACTCTTTCCGTATTCATCTTGATTCTTCGATGACAATTTAGTTTAAATTCAATGTTGTGCAGATCAAGATGTAATTGATGAGTTATTTAACCTTTGTGAACTAACAAGAATTATCGCAATACATTAATCATCTTCATTCATAAGTTGAACAAACTCTGCTTAAAAGCGACATGCATACAATTAATAATAATAAATTGGTTGGCATGCTATTAGTATTATTTTTTTATTATTTTTATATTTCATTCTTCAAGATACGTGTAATTCATTTCAAATCTTAGCAACTGTGTATCGAAACAATTTATGAGTGTTGTTTGCTTTATGTCCAGTGGCAAATGTTCCATGCAAACTTTGTACGAGAACAAATTAACAGAAAATCCAGAAAATTCAGTTGCTTAAATGATGGTCATCAGTGACAGGGGCGGAAAACTTTAAACTGCCATAGGAAAATTACGGCATTATAATTATGGACAGAAATGTTTGCTTTCAACAGGTCACCTCGGAGAAAAGTTGCTAAGATTTTAAGCAATTTAATTCAATTCAATTCAAATTTTTATTGTCATGTTAACTTTAAACAATAAGTTAATGACAAAAGTACAAAATAAGTATTCATTATGATTAACCGAAATGCACATATTTACACAATATAACGTGCAGCGAGCGTGGCTACATGTATCTTCGTTCACATTGAATGGGATTAACTTTCCTTTCACAACCAGACTCAAGCTAGAAGCAACTCGCTAGCAGCCACTACGCTAGCAGCCACTTTTAATAAAAATCTAAAAACCCAAAAGATGCATTAGATTCAAACTCAACAGATTTTTTTTTTAATATATCAAACTATGCAATTGTAAAATTAAGAAGAAGAAGATATTAAATGACGAATCATATATTTTAATTCCCTTTTCAAAAGTGAAAACAAAGGTATACATGTGTCTCGTCGAAGTATAATGATAACTACGGGATAACCGAATATTTGTGTTGCTCGTTGTAAGGGTTAGAAATAGTACTTATTATTGCCGTAGGGAATTTTTGACAGACTTTGAAAGATGGGGATGGAGTTAGGAATTTAAGACTCTTTAGACCTAAGTTTGGTCCTCCGGTGAAGACAAACATGAGTTGTCCTACCTGGGCCTTTTGGCCCAATGGATTTTAGACCTTCAACTATTCCAATATCAAGATTATCGGAACGTTGATCATTTTACCGGTAGTTATCTATGTCCCTCTATGGATAGGCTACCACGTGACATTGTATATTCCAACAATCAAAGTTCAGTTGTATAATGAAAACGCAATTATATAATTCATGCTTTGAGACGGTCCCTGGTGTACGCGTTGTGTGTGTAGTATTAAATTCAGCGTGCTGTTGTGCATTGTGACAATAAACCTGGGAATAGTATATTAATATATAATGTCCCAGAAAAAAAAATTTAAACGGTCGTGAATGAAAAAATAATTGCGTGGTTTCAACTCACAAGGATTTTAAATCCTTGCATTTACAAAAAACGTAATTAATATTTTACAATGATCATAACAAAATTTAATTAACATCATAATGTTAATTATTTTATACTGTTTTGGTATGATGGATTATAAGTCTCTAATATATTTTGTATAGCAATATATTCATATAGTGGAATGTTAGATCACCCTGTTCACACGCACACTATCGGTTTGCGTTCACAAAAATTCCAGGTAAAATGTCAATGAATCCGGAGTCAAAACCCTTGAGGTAGGTAGTTTAACACCCGAATTCAACTATTAGATTAATATATGTGATGACGCAAATGCGTATTCTTATCCAGAGTATCAGTGCGTATGCTTTCTATTTACTATTTCTTGCGCAAAAATACCACGTGCATGCATAAATATTAATTTCACTCGTGTATGCGAATTTTCGCTTTTCTTATCTTAATTGAGGTCACGGCAGTAAAAAGTAAAATAACAAAAATACCGAACTCCGAGGAAAATTCAAAACGGAAAGCCCCTAATTAAATGGCAAAATAAAAAGCTCAAACACTTCAAACGAATGGATAGCAACTGTCTTATTCCTGACTTGGTACAGGCATTTTCTTATGTTGTAAGAGCTTGACATGTGACTTTCAAGCACGGTCATCATTACTTACGGTATTCTGACCTCTTACTGTTTATCTTTTGTTTTCTTTTTTTGAGTCACTGTCCTATTATAAACTTTGACATTTTCGAAATGCTAAGGATTTTCTACCCAAGGAATTATAGATTACTTAACTTCGTACTTTATTTGGCCTTTTAACTTTTTTTATTCGAGCGTCACTGATGATTCTTTGTAAACTTAACTCGAGTCTGGCGTACAACATTTTAATCCAGGTATCTTTTTATATAAATTGGTTCTTTTGAGAGTATGTTCAGGTATTCATAAAACTTCTGAGAATAAGATATTCTTC